CCTGCCGCCCGCTCAGGAGGACTCCCAGGCAGTCGCGGGGCCGAGAGCCTGAGACGGGGAGCCGTCAGGGTGGCTGGCCACCGCCAGGGCCCCGCCACCCCTCTGTCCCCGGGCCTCTGCCTTGTCTGTCCCCCTGGGCTCCAGAACCCCGCCTTGGGGTCAGACCTTGGCTCGGCCACTCCCTGGGTGGGTTTGGGTGAGTGAGCAACCTCTGAGCCTCGCTTTCCTCATCTGGAAAATGGGCACAAGGGGCCCCTGGTGGGGCTGGGGGAGGGCTCAGCAGGGGGTGCGGCTGGGGCTCCCGGTGCTGCCGGCAGCAGGAGGTCCTTGGCAAATGGAGCCTGTTTCCTTATCTGCGTGGCCAGTGGGGGATGATGTGGGGGGGCAGAGCTGGGCACCAGGTCACCCAAGGAAGGCGGCCCCTCACCCCACTCACCGTTGGCGCAGCCCCGGGGCCGCGCTCCCCGGGCAGGCGCCCTCTGAAGGTCGGCCTTGACTCGGGGCCGGCTCAGCCCCCGATCCCTGTGCAGGGCGTCCAGGACGTCACTGACCAAGTTCACCAGGTGAGCCATGTGGCCTTGGCTCTCGGAGAGAAGCTGTGGGGCACGGGGGGGGGGTGTCAGAGGGGGCAAAGGCATGACACCTGGCCCCTCCCAGGCGGCCGGGGCTGAATGAGGCTGTGGAGGCAGCACCTGGCAGCAGAGCGGAGCTGGGCCCAGACCCCGACTCACCCGTTTCCCAGGGGTGCGACTGGGACTGACGGCACCGAACCCTGAAACCGGCCAACAAGGCCTCCCTGGCCCAGCCGCTACGGGACCGGGACCGGTGATGACTGTGGGAATGCCCGCCCAGTGTGGGGCCCACAGCAGGGGACTCAGGACTGGGCACCTCTTATGTGAATTCTCCAGGCACCTTCCAGGTCCCCAAATTCCCTCACCCCACTTCTCTGATCTCCGCAAGGCCTGGAAGGCAGAGGGCTGGATCCGCACACAATTGGGGGGACCCTGGACTCCCCCCCAACACCCCCCACTAGCCCTGCTTTGACTTCACCGCTCTGTGATGTCCAGCACCTTCCCTCACCCACAGCTGCCAGGAGGGAGGACTGGAGTTGTCCTCTTCTTGTTACAAGTGGGGAAACTGAGGTCCAGGAGGGGAGGCCCCCGATCGAGAATGACCTCAGGCCCCATCCCCATCCCTGTGCAGGGCCCAGGTGAGGGCAGTGGCTGGGCCCAGGCTCCGGGGCTGAGTCTGGGTTTTGACTCAGGACCTGGGAGTGCAGCCGACCCTCCCCGACCTCAGCTTCCCCCGTGAGCCGGAGTAAAGGGACCCGTGTCTCCGGGTTCGTGGCAGCCGGTGTCGGGGCCTGAGGCTCCGCAGGTGTTCTCAGTATGCTCCCCACTTCCCACGACCGAGGTCCAGGGGTGTGCAGCTCAGGGCAGGGCTGTGCCCGGGGCCTCAGCTGGGCCTGCTGCGGAAGGGTCTGGGGTCTGTCGCCTGCCCACCCCGGGCTCCAGGAGGCTGCAGGGCCCGGGCAGGGCGGCCAGCCAGCGGGGAGGAGCCTGTCACCTGCCAGGTAACAGCCGTTGGAGGAAGGGAAGTAGGAGGACACTGGCCGGCAGTTTACTGAACGTGATCCCGGCTTGTCCGGAAGCTGGGCCCGCAAAGCTCTTATTGGCTGTCAGTTTCCTCTGCTGAGCAGGTGACGGAGTGAGGGCCGAGACCTGGGGGACCCACGGGGATGGGCAGGCGGGGCTGCGGGCAAGGTTTCTCCTGCATCACCCAGCTCATTGGCTACGTCCCTAGGGTTCTGCCCACGTTTCTCAGACGATGCAAACTCATGAGAAACTCAGGCCCGACCCACTCTTGCCAAAGGCAGGGAAGCCCTCGGTTTAGACCAGAAAATGATTAAGGTTAAAACGAACATATAAACATGCCCGAATTCATGGGGAAAGCCGGTCCCTGCTGGCCAAGCTGCACGGATGCGTTAAGGAGGACTAGGCAGCTTGTGGCGGCAGTGAGATCAGAGTTGCTGGCAGCCCTCAGTCTGCCCCTCCCTAGAAGGGGGCCACGGTCCCTGCCTCCTGCCTGTTAGCACACGGGCGGAACTAGCTTGCGGGGGTCTGTCGGAACTGTGTAAAGGGGTTTTCAGTCAGGGCTCCCGTAGCTGCAACTTTAGATATTTCCGTCGTAACCGTAAAGATGCTGATGTGCAGGGTCAGGGGTCAGGGGTCAGGGGCGGGGGTGGGGGGGCCGGTCGAGCCCTGTGCGTCAGGGGCTCTGGCGCCCTCCCAGGTGAGGACTGTGTTACCCCGTCTTACAGGTGAGGAGACCCACCCGGGCGGGCCCCTGACATGCCCAAGGCCCCACAGTGGGGACTTGACCCTGAGAGCCGAACCTCCCGGGCCAGGGGCCTCAGTCATGTGCGCGTGTCCCCTGGTGCGTCTGGGCCGTGGGGACCTGGGAGTTTGGGGTGCGGTCCCGGATGTGCCCTTTTCACCAGCGGCTCTGGCGGTTCTGAGGGGGCCATGGGCACTGCTTTGAGAAACCTGGTGCGGCTGACAGGCTGAGGTCCTGGGAGCTAGCAGCCAGGCGACGTGCTCCGCAGGACACATGCTCTCTGCGTTCACCCAGGTCCCAGGAGATGCGTCACATTAAACGTGGCTTCGAGAAGGGCATGCCAGAGGGGCCAGAGCCCGCCTGGGCCCAGGAAAGCCATTAGCCTCGCAGGAGCACCCCGGCCTCTCAGCTGGGCGGGACACCCCAGGTCCGTCCCCAGCCTCCACCCCCGCCCGAAGGTGAGGCGTTTGTGGGCCAGGCCTGGCTCACCAGGGGCCAAGCCACGTGGAGAGCAAGGTGGGGGACCAGATCACCCAGAATTCTGGAGGTCCCCGGAGCCCTGCTGATGGGGGCAGGGATGTGCAGAGGGCTGTTGTGGCAGCTGAGCGCCCACCCCTCACCCGGGAGGGAAGCCGCCTTCCCCTCAGTCACCCAGGCAGGATGACGAGGACTGTGATTCCTCCAGCTGCAGCCTCGGGGAGGAAGACAGCCACTGCTCGGGTCCTGGTGTCCAGAAGGGGCTGGGGCTGTTGTCAGGGGCGGGGCTTGTCTCCTGGTCTCTCAGGACCGGAATCACAGGGCGACGGGGTGCAGGCGGAGGCTGGGCCGGGTGCCAGGAGGTCAGAGGACGGGACTGACCTGGCCACTGTACCCGGGGGCACCCCTGCCCCATTCTGGGCCTGTTTTTCCCAATGAAAGTGGGGGGAGACCAATGAGATCCCCCTAAACCCCGTCTGAGGCGGGGAGCTCCTGCTGAGCTCCAGGCGGTCGGCACTGGAAACTCTTCCCCCAGCTCTGCCCGGTCGGTGCTGCCTGGGGCCTGGCTTGCCCCGGGGTGTGGTGGGCAGGCTGAGGGGCTGCTGGGCCCCTCACTGGTCCCTCCTTCCCTGGACAGCTGGGCAATGAATGGGGTAGATCTGGGGAGTGAGTGCCGCTCTCTCTGGCCATGTGGCAGCCCCGGGAGAGGGCTTGCCACTGACCTTGAACCTCAATTTGCTGCTGAAGGTCATGATCAGCCTCCCCAGCATCTTACCTGCACTGAGCCCCTGGGAGGCCCCAGAAGCCCTGACTGCTGGGTGCCAGGGGTGCCACATGAATATCTGGGACCGCTGTGTGGCCTTGGACAAGAGGCAAACCTCTCTGAGCCTTGTCTGCCCGTCTGCAGGAATACCCACCGCCACTGGTCCCAGGGCACTGGGCGAATCAGTGCGGCCAAGGGCATTCCGTGCCCAGCACAGGGCTGGCACACAGTAGCAATAACCCCACCCTCCCGCCAAGCCCTCAAGCTGGGACCCTGCCCCGTACCTGGAGGAGGTGGGCCTGCTCGCTCTGCA